CTCTCTCTCTCTCTCTCTCTCTCTCTCTCTCTCTCTCTCTTCCTTTTTGTCTCTCCGCTGCTTCCGCCACTACCGTCTTCGTATACTGTGATAGCTGAGTAGAGAAATTCTTCGAGCAGCTGTCGCGCTGCTACCGCGACATTATTCTCGTTCCCTTTCTAAATGAGGATATTAATCGCCGAAGACTTACGTTTGACCGAATTTCCCCTCGAGACGAACAAAGGCAAGATCAGTCCGTCGGACATTGTAATCACATTTATTCAAACGCACTGTAAATTTACGTACACTTTTTTCTTCTTACTCTCATTTAAATGCATATTTCTTCTCTTCAAACTACTTTGAGAAACGAATCAAATGCTGGAAATGGTGGAATAGCTACGTTCAGCAGAGAAAGCTGCTTTGCAACTGTTATGAAATTCGTTTTCGTATGTTCTTAATCTTGGCTGAATCTAAGAATACGTACCAATGAAATTCACGAATTTTACAACAAAGCATCTTTTTCTGCTAAACGTAGCTAATGTGAAAATTGACCATACTTAACTTCTTGAATGATTACGAAAAACCTCAGTAATATTTATACTTTTTAAATCATGTATCAAATTTTCATCTTTATTTTTCTCGAAACATATTTTATGTAGGTGAGGTCATTTTTTTGCATAATTATGACCAGTTCTGCTCATAAATCTTTGAACGTTTATAACTTCTTGCTAGAGCAATTTCCGACATAAGTTTACAGGAACTTTTTTCACCTACTCAACCTCATTAACACAACTGTTTGGTCTCGATTTTTTTGTGAACACTAATTCCTAAAAAATACTTTCCGCTCGAGAAAAACTTTCTGGTATCATCCGCGCGATAGAAACGTGGTAAGAAATTCACCTTTACACGGCAAACGACAAGTCGTTCGAATGCGCTTTAACGAACAGACGAGTGAATAAAAATAAAGAAGGATGCAACAAAAACAAAAAAAGAATTGATATCGACCTTCTCGCGTGTTTCTGGGCCGATTCTTCCGCGCGTCCCGGCGAGTAGTAAGCACTTTAGCGTGTTCCCGCGGATATGTTCGGCGAACACGTTCCAATAAACACTTTTATCCCCAGCTTTTAACGATGAATCGTATTCTCGGCGGCAGTGGGGCGCGAATAACCGAACCGGGTCTCTCTCGTACATGTACACGAGCGATTAAAAGCGATACGTTACGTCGCGCGAACTCGCCCGCACGAATGCTTTAATGAGAGAGTACCTGGGGGTGCACCTATATTGACATTCTGGTGCGCGTACCCGGGGAAGGTGGTGCTCCGCAGACCAAAGTGGAGGTTCATACCGTTTATTTACGTGCGCGCCGAGAGCTCGCGATTATCATATTACGCGCCACTCTGATAATTCGTCAACTGCAAAATTATCCCTCGCCGAGTGCCGGCGAACGCTGCTTCGCTTCCCGCAGCGAGCGCTGTGGATGCATTCTAATATTGTTCTTTAAAACGCGCGATGAGATCCGCATTCACAAATATCTTCCGTAATTTTCGCTCGTAGTAATTTTCGCCAAACATCTCTAATTTTCGCATTAAACTCTGTTCGCGAAGAGATATTTGAAGAGAAGAGAGAAAATATTTGTCACGTTCGATACGTGCGGAAATCTCCAAATCGGCGTTCCGCGCTAACGTTACGCGCACGTGAAATCCTGAAAGGTCTCTGTTCCGAATTTGCGCCGCGAATTACATATGCACGAGGAGAATTTTATAGTAGAAATTGTCGTAGAATTTTGTAACCGAGGAACCGAGGAGATCGACATTCTGTAGCAATTGATTATCTATTTTTTTCATTATCTACTTGCTGTTTATACTTTAAGAATTGAAATGTGTTATTAAAAAAATGTGTCACGTTTCTAATGAAGTTTGCTATATTCTTCAGCAAAATAGACCGATTGATAGTCTCTATTCTTGCACTATCAGAAACATCTCAGATAGATTTTTATGATTATCATAACGATCGATGATGAAAATTTTACAATTTCTCGAATTAATTATTACATTCGCTTCATGCAATGACATAAATCTTTCTGTTAACAATTGATATTGACAAATTTCCCAAAAGTTCTAAAATTTTCATATTACATTTTGCATAACATGTTTTGAGAAAGTTTTAACAATTTCTTTACATTTCATCACTCAGTGTGATAAATACGAATAGCAGCACTTATAAAGGATATATACTTGCAGCTTGCGAATGAAGTACATGCTGCAAATTTAAGTACATCTGTCTATCTGAGTAGACTTCAGCTCGGCATATTTCGTCTTCTCTATCGCGAGGATAACGCAAATGTAGATAAACGGACTCACCAATCTCGCGTCGCCTTCGCGACGAACTGCTGTTGGTTCTCCCTATCGACCGGCGTAGAATGGTGATGACGATGATCATCAGGGGAGACAGCCGAATGGCAAACAAGACGGGTCTCGTTCCGGTCGAGGATCGTGAGGTTGTAAGACGATGCCAAGAGTCGGGAGGCCATTCGATCCAAAGCCACCCACGATTTACCGTCCACCACCCAGGACGGATACGTGCAATGCTGTGGCGGCTTTTCTGTAACGTGAAAAGATGGCCGTGGTGAGAGGATCCGCTGTTCGTCGACGCGTCTTGCCGCGTTCGCGGAGGAGAGAACTCTTGAAGCACGCGATATTTACGTTTAGTTACGCGAGGATCAAAACGCTGAAATTACGAACGATTTCTCTTTCCCCTCTCTCTTTCTCTGAATTTTCACCGACGCGCCATATGAAAAACCAAAATTTAAAAATGAAATGATTTAATACCTGAACGGTGGTAAAGTCGCGATTAAATCCGAATGGAGTCACGATCTCCGACGCGTTTTCGGTAATTACGAGAGTGGGAAACATTTTGGTATTTTTAGAATATTTTTAGAATCGAGACGGCCCACGACAAAGTGAGATCGTAAAGTTGATTATTGTCGGCGACGCCAACAGTTTAATTCCTGTAATTTTCATCTCCACGTTGCAGATTCGGACGACTGTTAAATTCAAATGTAATTACGTGTCAAGAAATAGCTGGGGCTTTATTCTTAGAGCGCCCGTAACTTCCCTCGCCCTAACGTAGTTATTCCAAACTCGAAATGCATAATATAACTGTAAACTCGTTCCCCGACTCTTTAAGTTCACGGGGTCCTCGAGCAGATAATCCAGCATAAGTAAACTTTGACCTCTCTTCTCCTGCGTTGTAAACTTCGTTTTCCCGGTATGCCGGCTGTTCCCGGCGCATTATCGGGGTGCTGCACGCTCCGTCAATGAATCCGCGATGAAAAAAAAAAGGGGAAAAGAGATGTTACGCGCGGAAGATAAAATCGAGCAAAGCACGAGACGACTCTTCTATTCGGAATTCCACGCTAATTACAATACGCTTTTAACAACGTTATGCTCGTAACTAACACAATTACACTCGCCGCGGGCAACATACGTCATACGGAACGTGATGTATATTAACCAACTCATTAGCCTCATTAACACACGCTATACATACAATACAACGCGTAATTCGCGTGTACAGTGCATTGTCATCGTTGCGATAATGATTCGCAACTGTTTCCACTATCATCGCTGAAGTCTACTTCGAGCAATCTATAACTCGCCACGGAGTATTATTTGCAATTTCACTTATCGTGTAATATGAAAGGCGGCTGAAGATTTTTAGGGGTGCATCAGGTGTAATTCTGACGCGTTTTTTGAGTCTGTGTGCTTTCCGTTACACATATAATTTTATCTGGAAATTTTTCACGAGTTTTAGATCGCTTAAAGTTAACTGTCAGAATTAAAATAAATTAAGGCTCTGTTGATTTACAATCAATAGTTTATTGAAGGCTCTTATGGACTTTTTAATATTCTCTTGATTAGAAATTCCAACTACACAGCTCGTCGAGAAATTGTAAGAATTATATTGATTACTTAAAAACATACACTCAGGAAGAAAGAGAGAGGGGAAAAACTGACAGATAGGGAAAAAGAGTGGAACCGGCAAAAATCGCGGCGCGTAAAATGTTGGCCTAAAAATTACGCTGGCTGGAAAAAATAGCGAAGTGCCGTTACGACGTGTCGCGCGGCAGCAGCATGCGGGTTACATCGACGCAAATAATTTGCCATAAACGCGTGACAAGTCCGTCGCTGGCGAACAGTTATCCTGTCAATGGTCGACCGCCCACGGCTATCAATCACCGTGCGCGAATTAATGGACCGTTAAAAATGCACGAGCGACAAAGTATGCCGCGTGCATACTGCATACGCCGGCGTACGTGCGACTAAAAGCTAATCGATAATTCAATTCGGTGTGTGCGTGCGCTGTAACACTATAGTCCGCCGAAATTGCGCTGCTTATCGTGTAGTGATGATAGTATGTCGCGCACAGTGTGATAAGAGAGAAACAGACAAACAAAGAGAAAGAGAGAGAGAGAGAGAGAGAGAGAACAACCTATTTAAGACTTATTTGTAAGCTTTAGGGCAAACCCTCTAAAGATAAAATCAAATATATATGTTTAGTTGTATATCTGAATACAAAATTTACAAATCAAAAGTCATAATAAAAAAAATAAATATATATACAGCGCAGTGTCTCAGCGCGCGCGCGCGCTCAATCTCATAATCTCTCGTGAAGACGTGAGAACGGATTATGATAGAAATATATAACGAAGTCTTAATAATAATAATGGGAGTATTGAAGTGAAATTTTCTGCAATAAACGAATATTTTCAAACACATCTGGTACAAGTTGGAAGGAAGAAAAATATTGAGAAAGAGACGCATGCGCTGAAAGAATCGCGGAATTCGTATAATAGTGTCATTGTGCGATCTGCGTTGCCGATAGAATTATTTTCGCCGGAGTAACTCTTGTCGAGATTCGCACCCAATTAAGATGTCCTCGTCGTCGGGAAAATTTTCATATTTACGATCGTTCGTGTTACATTATTTCCCTGGACGCGCTATAGACAGCGGAATAAACTTGGAATCGATCGGCAAACTTCCGAACTACCGTTCTTAGCGAGTTCGCCATCTTTGTTGCGAGTAGCGGACGAAACTATTTTGACGCGCTCGATTTTACGCCACGGGCACTTTTTGCCGTCGACCAAAGTATTTAATGCACACGAATTATCGTGCCAGGAGGGGAGGGGTAGCGCCAATAGTTACGAGTTGCTAAGTAATCGCCGCGGAAAGGAATGCAGATCTTGTTTAACGCTTTGCCGTCGAGCACGTCGGACGGGCGTGCGGCGAAATGCGTATTAAAATGAGTCGCGCCAGCGGCGAAATGCGAGAAGAAATGTATGCTTTGTTCAAAGTAAATTACGCCCGTCCTCTTATCTTTCTTTGCAGTCAGACCGCGTGTAATACCGTTACGTTACCTCAGAAAGATTCTAATTTCGCGCTGCGGCGGTGGCAGCGGTTATTTGAAAACGAAAATTCAAAGCGGAAATATTATTCTCCGCGCAGAGAACGTCACCGATCTTGTTTCGCGGGGTTGGACGCACTTGCTTGTCTTGAGAACAATTTTTTTTTTCATTGTCTTATCGTTTAAGGAAAATACATGAACTGTGTTCTTAGATTTACTCCCGAGCTGGAGAACCATTTCTCTGAGTCATGAGCTGTCGTTGCGCGTCATTCATCTGTGTGACAGTCATCGACGAGCTTAAGGCAGAGACGAAGAAAAAGGAGAATTTACATATCGGATAGGCGGAATTTATCGCGCGTTGGCCTTAGCGCGAATAACGCTCTCCTCATTCGGGCACTTCGAGGCGGGAAGCCCGGCGTAGCTCGAGATCCCGGGGCTAATCTGCCTCCTGGAAAGTTTAAATGGAAACGCGGAACCGGGGTAGGGGGTTAACGAAACATCCGGGACGCCGTGGCGAGGGCGCCGCTGAAAAATTTTTAAGCTGCTTAACGCCCGAGTTGAATTTGCCTCGAGTAGCGGCGACGGCGGCGCGATTCCGAGATATTAAGTGTTAGCTTCGTGATTCTCTCCCTCGATAACACGCTCGATCTGTGACATTGCTCTATCGAGATTGCCCTATAAGACCACTACTGAGACAGGACAGGCGATTCTTGGAATACGCGCAAGTGACGGCAGTAAATAAACCAAACAATAAACAAATAAATAACGAATGGAGAAGTAATAAATAAATAAATAATAGATGAATCAATAAAGTGACAGATAAATGAGCGATATTAACATTAACATTGTAAAATGAATACGTATAGCTATAATATTTCATTCAACCCTTTACGATGAATTTAGTTGTCAAGTAAGCGAGAGCATTTATTAATTAGCTTGCGTGCCAAGTTTTTTCATATACTGTACATACGTGTGTTCTGATGAAGTAAGTAAACTAAGTAAGGGTTTTTATTATGATATTCATTGATATATTGTTCCCCTTATGAAAGGGAAATAGAAAGAGACCAAAGTACCACGTTTTGAAAGGAAGAAGTGAATCAGCGTTTCTGATCGTCAATCCCTTGAGAAATCAACGACGTCGATTCGCGTCTCTGGTTCGCGAAACGTGTAACGACAGAGAGTTGGTCACGCTTGAATTTAGCGCGTCGAGCGAAAATCAAAGTTGAGGGTGAATCGTGAAACCTGATATTCGTGAATATTCCCGATAAAACGTCGCTTTTTCGCGACGACGCGCGTACACTCGAACGGGTATCGATCTATCGCGACACACGCGCGCGCATTGCGCCATTCGACCGGCGATCAAACCCGTCGCCTCAATTTGGTTAACCGTGAACGCTGTGACAAGATCGTGCCCGAGCCGGCAAGGCTACGTGTAGCTATGCGATACCGTGGAATACCCGAAGTACCTGGCGTTGACCACGGACCGGGTCACGATAGTATGCCGGACAAGAATCCGATCTGGTGTCCACAGGCACTCTCATAGTTTACGTGCTCTCGTTCTAACGGAGCAGGCCTCGCCCGCTCGGCGGCGCGCCTTCGCCGTATCGGGATGTACGCGCCGATCCGTCGCCTCGTCGCTATCGGTTAACAGCCTCCGCAGAATTTCGATCGTTAATTCGATCTTTCTGCGTGGACACTGAAGCGCGACCGGCTCGCACGACACGTCCGTACGATCGCTGATGGGTATTTCGCATTCGGCGAGGCTAAATTAGAGAGTGAAGGCTTTTCAAGCTCTTCCGAAAGACGACAGGTGCACCGAGGTCGTTGGATCAAAGATTTAAATGCCGTTCGAAATAACCGTATCACATTCAATATATAATTCTATAACTGATGTCGACTGTAAGACAGAAAAAGATGAAAATAATTATTTCATAAAAATACGTCTCTACTGAAAATTTTGATGAGTAAAAATCGTTCGGTAATTATCCGAAACGTCTAAATGACGAAGAGATAATCCGCTGAATGTTCTAAATTTTAAATTCTTTCTGAGTAGATTTATCTCGTCGATATTAATCCGTTTAGACCGCATAACGAGTCGGACTCGTTATAATCTTCTGCGAGGGAACAAATTTTTTGAATATGTTAAATATTGTTTACTGGAAATTTTATATATAAGTTACATGTAGCTCCGATATATTTGTTATTTATATAATTACGATACATCTCAAAAATTTATATATCGCATGAAAACTTTATGAAAAGTTACAGGAACATATTGACACGGAAATAAGATCGGTCGGTTAAAATGCATTTTTTATCTAGATGTAGATAGGTTTTTATTAGAAAACCTTTTAGATATATTAAGAGCCAGTCAAAAAATTCCTAGTTACATACGTATACATTCGTTGAAAATTGAACTAAATTTTTTTATTAATTCAATATAAAATTTTTTTTATGAAAATCTTCATTTAAATTTTCACACATTACTTTTGAGAGGAATTTGAGAGAGGGTGCGGGGGTGGGCAGAAAGAAGTACTCACTTTGCGTCATCTTGAACGTCCTAGCAGCCTCGTGAACACTGATCAATCCGTTGCAGGCGGCGTCCGAGCTCTGCGCGAGGTGCCACGTGTTGTTCGATGGATTTGTGTAAATAAAGCATCTGTAGCTCTCCTCGTCGTTTGTTTTACGATCGCTGTGCAAACGCGCGATCATGTAATTTGTGCTGCCCTCCCTCCAATGAGCCAGACACTCCAATTCTACGTCTAGAAAAACAAACGTCGCCGCTGCAAATTGGCATGTATCCAATAACAACTATTGCATTTTTGTTTCTATTTTATCGAGATGCGCAACATATGTTTATTCAGGACTGGTGATAACGCATAAAGTGTAATTCGTTGAAGTAGCAGCTGATGGGTAACACGTGCGTACGCGACGAGGTGTGCGTTATCGAGAACGAACGAAAATTCGGCCATGATTCTGTCTACGAGCCTATTAGTAACGGAGTCGTAAATAGAAGTTTATTACCATTGTCCCCACGAATAAAGCTATCTGCAGGAGTTATAAACGAGGGTAAGCGATATATGAATGTTCATGAAAACACATTATACAGTATAGGAGCGTGTACGAGCGTGGGAGAAAGAGAGTGATAAATATATATATATAGATAGATAGATAGATAGATAGAGAGAGAGAGAGAGAGAGAGAGAGAG